TGTCAGAATGATTCCGTATAAGAGTGATTTGCTTTTCCAGAAGTTCTTTTAAATCATCAATTGGAAAAAACACACCTTTGTCTCAGAGTCAAGCTGGATTTTTTTCTTTATATGGCCACAAAAATTTGTCCTGAAGGATAAATTATCCACTAAGTGACATTTGTAAAAACCTACTTAAGGCTAGCATGAATACGTGGATGTCACTGCAGAAATATTAAAAAAAAAATACAGGGAATCCAGTGTGAAGAACTGTTATTTGGTCTGCAGAAGCTATAGTGCTACTAACTGAACACAAAATAGAAAGAACCCATCATAAACTGGACAGTTCAGGACAGATTAACAGAGCTGAAAAGGGGATGGCTGTTACTTGCAAAGCATGTTGAATTTGCAAGTCAGCAACAAACATATAAACCTATTTTAGAGTCGAGCAAAGAATCATCATTTAAATTCCTAAAGCTCAAGGCCATGCATATGTGCATGTGTACATGCACACGCACATGACTGACACAAAGATACTGGTACATAGGTAGCTGTTTTTCTTCACAATCCTAGAAATCATCTCTTAAATACCACATGACTGTGTGTAGACTTGGTAAACACTACATACATCCTCAATATTTCAGCTAACAGAAGCTTTAGAAGAGGATGTTTTTTAAAAATAATTTAAACTCAATTTGGGCATACAACTCTGCAATATACAGGCAAAGGTAGATTCTGCTGCTAATTTTGTGACAGCAGAACTTGCTCAGTCCCATCCATAAAACAGTCTCATAAAATGGTCTGTAGGAGGGCCCAAGAACATATGGTACAGAGCACATACTATTTAAAAGAAAAGACTAAGAAATTTAAATGTCAACATTTTTTCCCCCACCCTTCATCTTAGATGTTCCTTTTAACTTCAATCCATTACTCCCAATTATAGCCAATGGATCTCAAGTATAATTACATATTTATTTCTCCATAAATAGTGATAATATAGCCCAAACCTTTCACAGATGCTTCTCAATTGATTTCTAAAGTGAGTCAAGAGGAAAACTTTACAAACTTTTATTTTCTCTCATTTTGGACAAAAATTCTACCCTGGACAAGAGAAAGCCTCCCTATAAGAATTTTCAAACCAATACGCATGTCTATGAATTGGAATTGGCCAATTAGAATGTTTAACTGAAAAAAATCCATAACCAGCTTGAGTAGCAGTTTATCTTTGTCATGGTCTAGAGATAAGTAGCAATCAGAAAAGCAAACAATGTTTAGAAAATGGGATAGACCAGGGATAGCATCCGAGTTCCTAATCTTGAAGAGAATAAGTATAGCTTCCGCTCACTTATAGTTACAGGAGTGTAGACCTTGCTGCTATTAAAGGAAGGGCTGTGCAGAATTTATCATCACAGGAGCGGCACAGAATTGAGAAGGATGTAGAATTTAGTCACTTGAAGAATAGGGTCTTTGGGCCATGGAAGTGGGGGAGAAAGCGGTTTGAAAAAGGCACAGCATGGAAAGTTTGTATATTTTGGCCTGGCTGGTAGGTTTAGTCCTCAAGTTAATAGACATTTGATAATTTTTTTAAACCCTGGAAATAGAAAGTTTCATTAATTAATGGTACAGTCTCATGTGGACTATTGTGTTTAATTCAGGTCTTTCAACTTTAAAACAGAATATAACAGAAACCAAAGGTGGGCAAATGGACAAAGAACTTTTAAAAATGTGAAAAGATTTTAAGGTGGTCTTTCTTTGTCAACTGAATAGGAGGGAAAATACAATACTGGTATTTAATAAATGAATGGTAGAGAGAACAGAAATTATCCTCCCCATGACTTAAATGAGAACAAGGGGACTGAATGAAAGTGAAACCAACTTTTGTCTCAGAAACATAACCAACAGGCTGAGCTCATCATTATTAGCTTATATTAAGAGGAGATTTATAAGACCTAAATAAAGGATTGACAAATAATGACATGAACTTCTAAAGTCGCAACAGGTAGGTTTAAAAAAATAGTGCTATAAACCCTGATATTTCAGGGCATAATCCATTCTCTAACAAACTAAGTATAGTAATATTAAAAACTGTGGCAGACAATTTGGAATACATCTGGGTTTAACCAGTGTCAACTGTCATTTCTTTGACAACATGTACCCTACTGGCCTGATATAAATACAGCAATTCCAATGTTCTAGCTGTTGTGAGTGGCTGTACCACCTGACCAGACAGTAGATAAGATGGACTGCTGGTTGCATTCCCTCTCTGACCCATCTGGAAGGCAGAAATTTCCATCAGCTTCCCTAAGTAAACTGAAACAGAAGCAAACCAACCCACAACCCCAAACTGCAGGAAAAAAGGAATCAAAAGGAAGAAGGAAATAAATAATGCCACAGCAAAAAAGGGAGCAACAGACAGCAGAGAGCAAACACCGAACTAATGGGGATGTGGAGACAGAGTGAGGGGCAGCAGTCAAATTAAGACCTGTCATACCTATGCACTAGAATTATGGTTTGACTATTTTTAAAGAATTATTTGCTCATATTTATAAATAACTGCACATTACACTGTCATTTATTAAAGTCATTACATAAGAGCAAGCCTTAATGATTGGCTTGTAAACAGCTGACTTTGATACTGAAACTATCTGGTTAATTTGCCTGCTTAAATTTAGGAATATCACAGAGAATTAAGTCTGTCATCTCTCATGCTCTAGCCTGTTAAACTTAAAACAGACAGCTACATATTGTATTTTCTTGGGTATCACATGCCCTCCCGGGAACAGGACACACCTTTTCTTGAGATGAATGGGGTGGGGGAGGGGGAAGAGAGAAGGGGTAGATATGAAAAGAAAAAGAAAAATCTTTCCTTGAAAATACACATAGGGTATTTTTTTTTCCAGTGAAAACAGACATCTGCAGTGACAGGGGAAGGAGAAACAAAAAGCTATGACTGCTCTGTTAACCCCCTAGCTGTGGGACATAGCAGGTACTGCTGGCTGCCCACCTGGCTTGAGAATTAATGGTCAGCCAGTTTGGCTTACTGGACAGGTCAACAAGAAGGGAAGGGAAGACCAGTTCAGCTCCCAGAGGACTGGACCCTCTGCTCCCTCCATTTTCCACCCCAATTTCCAGTAGCTTATTTTTGGAAAGAAGATGCATTTGTAAAGTTCTGGTCTTGTCGGATATGGTAAACTGTGGGAAAAAAGTAACAGTTACCAAAGTACTACTGGTATTAGCCACAAACACTTTGTGCAGAGGATTTCATTACCCAATAACCTCACAAACTGCATATACTGTAAAAGGTGCAACAGGTGTGACATCTCATTAAACAAGACTACTGTAACTGAAAGCAACAAGTTTGAACACTTTCAGTTGGACAGTTACATATTTTTTTGAAAATATAACGTGTATAAATGGGCATTTAGTCATGTTAAAATAAACATTAAAACATTATTTAAAATACTTCATCTCACTCCCACTTTAAAATTACAGCAAAAAAACTACCAACTTGAATGCTATTTAGGTTCAATTCTGCCTTGAGACAACACACAAATTCTATCGAAATCAATGCAAAAAACAATACTTTAAAACAGGCTCTGTTGACGCTTCAAATTCAGCCCACTCCATTTTATATATTTAACTCTATGTTTCAGTTTCCTTTGTGAGGCGTTTCAGTTTTATTCTACTTATTTATTAAGGGTCTTCAACAGCAGTCATGGAGACAGAATGTGCTATAATTATATCTATTATAAAGATGCTAAATAAACACAAAAGTAAGCCAGGTTTTAGATACACCACTAATGGTTTCCCCCCTCTACCTCTCAACTCTGGTACTGAGATTCAACAGTGGAAGTCTGTTCCAATCTTGAATGTCTGGCTTATTTCATAAGGGCTAATAGAGGACAGTCTTGAAATGATTTGGTAAAAACCTATTTTATATATATACATCCAGCTTTTGTGTAGTTTGTTATTCTCTAAACTGCTAAATTATCATTAACTGAATCAATCAGGAAGGGTTTTGATTATCAGTTTCCTAAGTTTAAAGTCCTTCACTATTATGCTAACTCAAGACATCCTCTAGTGAAGATTCTCAGGACCTTTCCCTCCACTGGCTGAAATCTGTGACCTCACTGAAGGGGTCTAGCTTTAATTTCAGTTTGGCTGCTGCCTGCAACCAACAGCAGTCTGCAAGATGGTCCACAGGACAGAAGGCTCTCACAACTATAAACTTGAGGTTTAACCAGTTAAATCTATCTTCTTTCCTGCTCCGTACCACTATTAACATGAAGCAAGATGTATTTTAAAATCAAATCTGTAGTAACCACAACAACCATTAACTTGCTGATCCAATAGCCATGGATAATTCTTACATAAAACCTACACACAGTGCTCTAGAGAAACATGTTTGGAGTGCCTGGCAAATGGGTAATAAATTCATAAATTCCCTTAAAATGAAGCATTATGCAGCAACTCAAAATCAGTTTTGGTGAGTGTTGAGCGCTGTGGCTAAACCAACACCGGGGGGGGGGGGGGAAGATACCCAAAAGGTGTTTTTGTACTGCCTTGAAACCAGCAATGCTACAGCATGTGTGGATCTGTCACAAGATGCGCGTTTGCATTTTAAGCCTACAGAACAGATGTAAAGACACTAATAAAACTCTGAACAGTTCCTTCCATCAGGGGAAGCCGGTCATCATTTTCAGAAAGGATCCAGGGAAACGTTTCCCACAAAGCCAATCCCGCGGGCAAAGGCAGACAGCCTGGTTTGCAGCCTGCAACCAGAACGGAGCGTATTTGGCAGGCAGGCCAGTGCCCGCGTATCCAGTGTAAACACCACGCGTACTACAATGTTTGTGCAAGGCACCAATCTCTAGCCCTATCCCTGCGCCTAACAGGAGCGACCCAGGGCTGTTACCTGGCTGGTTCAGGGATCCCAGATGAAGGGCAGGGGCCAGGCTCGCTACAGAAAGCCAAGCCCCAGCTGCTTTCAGCAAGGAAGCGCCGCAGCCTCAGACACTTACCATCACTCTCTGCCCTGACAAGCAGGGACATGCCCTTCAGCCTCTCCACGTAGCCAGAGGACACATGCCCGGTGCCCCGGTCGTCCCACTGCCGGTCCTCGTTCAGCGTGTAAACCTTCACCCTCCGCCGGGTGTCAGTCATTCTGCCGCCGGCCGCGCCGCAGCCGCCCGGCCTGGGACACCTGGAGAGACAGGAGGAGGGGGCGGCCCGCACGGGAGGCGGCGGCGGCGGCGGCAGCGGGCAGGGCCCCACG